AAAACTGCAAACATGAAGGTGTAGGATGCTATAAAATATGATTATAAAAACAAGTCCAAAAAAATCTGGGAAATCAACAAAACCTAGAGGGGAAAAAGAGAGAAGTAAGAGTACATGAGTACAAAGGGTGTAAAGTTGTCCATGATTTTACAGTTCCACATAAAGCCAGTTTTCCTCTTGCTAACTTGTTTTTGATTGTTTTTTTGCTGGCCAACATAATAGGCCAACTGGGGTTAAGTCCCAGTAAAGGTTGTTAAAAGGGGGTCATTGTCTCTTCCCTTAGCAGAGGTGGACTTTGATTTGTCAATAAGCTGATTTTTGCCGATGTTTACTCGGACAAGGGGCCAGTTCAACTGCCTGAATGAGCTTTAACTGCATCCCAACCCAACTGTGCATCTAAACACACTAATTGGCTATTTCTGGTGTTTATTTCTTTTTTTTTTCACATGACAAAACTAAGACAAATAAATGAATAAATAAAATGTTTTTTTGTTTATTTGTTGACATAGTTTTCCTTTTATAAGTTTGACCTTTTCCTAACTAATAGCTGAAGTTCACATTTATTTTTTCCTCTTTGATTTTCTTCGGGTTGACAGAAAACCACTCGCTCATCAGAGGCTAGGCACTGGAGAGTTGCAGATGACAGTTCTGGGCTGATCCATTACCACTTTGCCCCGGGCTTAATTACCATCTCCCTCCAGTAGCATGCAACATTCTCTCCCTTCAATGCAATCTTGCACTAACTTCTCAGTATGATTGCAGCAGGAGTAGCACCTCAGATTCTCCTGCATTAACAATCAACTCCCTCTGGGGCCTCCGTTGGAGTACACCTGCATGCATAAAAACAACAATTACAGAGCCATCTTGATGATCACTGGTGATGAATTCAGCTTTGGAGCTTGTTATTTCCCTGTGGGATTTGGTGGCAGCGCAAAAGCAGAAGCAGCAGCAGCAAGCGGCGGCAGAAGCACGTCTGTCTTGCCATGATGCCACGTGTCATTTTTGACAAGTCCCGGGGATAAAGAAAGCAGGCAAGAAGCTTTAAATCAAATTGGTCACACAGCCTTGCCAATCACTACGGACAACACATGCAGGCTCACAACCAAGGTGAAGCTGCTGTTATGTGTCTAGGCGGTGAGCTATCTCCCTGTGCTCTAAAATGGAAATGAAACTGTTACACACCCACATCTATTGAGGAAGGGATTTGCGTGGGCTGAGGTACAACTATACTCGATCACCACAGTGGGAGAAGCTTTAGCTTTGCCCTTCTTCAAAGTGAGATTTACAAAAAGGAAATGCTTGGCTAGGTTTATTCAAAAGAAGCTCCTGATGGTGGGAAGACAAAAGGTACTTCACACTATCCTCCCTGGGGCACATGTACTCCAAAGCTCCTCTTCTCTGCTTTACTCCTTATTCTAAGTACATGTTCCCCCCCTTGAGTTCACGGCACTATTTCCTGCTCCTGTCTCTCTCGCTCAATCTTTTGCCTTCTCCTTTATTGTCTTCTCCCTTTCAGTCCCAGGCTTTATCCCTCTCATTTAATTTTACTTGTCTTCTTTATACTTCAGCTGTGACTCTCCTTCTGCTTCCTTCTCTCACCTTCACATTTCTCTCCCTCGCTCTGCCTCCATCTCGCTTACCTCCTGCTTTCCCCCCTCATCTCTGCTCCCTCTCGCCCCCTCTCTCTCTCCATGTCTGTCTAGCCACGTGTTGGCTAGCTCAGAGCAAAACCCTCTATTAACAGAAGCCAAGGCCAGATGGCAGCTCAGAGATGGATCATATCAACTCTGTTCTCTGTGAGTTCCAGACACTTTTTTTTTCTTTCTTTCTGGGCATCTTAAAAATAACTTGCACTCTACCATTTCACCTAAAAACCCAGTGTGGGACTTGTTTCTTAGATTAACATTTTATACAGTATTAGAAAGATCACTGCATCCAAATGCACTTCTGTTACATTAGTAAAATCGAAACAGATGAAGAGAACTTTTTCATTATTCTGTAGCGTGTTGAGACAGAATCAATTAAATGAATTGGACTGTTTTTGTTTTCTTGACGTTGCTTTTCATTACTCACTCGCGACAATATGACTTCCGTCGTCTTCCCTCACTAAAGGCTGTCAAACTGTGCCGGGTCTTGTTAACACACAGTCTTCAAATCTCATGAGGACAGTATTTATTCCCTGAGGGGACTTGTGGCTGTAGAACGAGAAGAGAAACATGTTTGAGCTTCCCAGAAGAAAAAGTAGGAAGGTATATCCACATAAGGTGATATATCCACAGGGAGGAATTCCTGTGGTTTGTCTAATGAGGCACGGCCACACTACACACTCTGGTCAGTTCAGGAGAGAAGCGTGAAATTCCCCATTAAGTAATGTGAATCCCACATTAAGAGGCCCTCCTGAGGCAAAGTGTCCGGAGTCTGGATTTCTAACTCAATTAAATCACACCACCTCTAGAAGTTTCCCTCCAGATTAAGGACTTGTTTTAAGGTTGCGAATGTCAAAAATACCCGTTTTCTCGTCTTTGTTGTCACCACGTCTGCTACACTGGGTATCAGAAATGAGTGCCCCAGTGCACACAGGGGTTGAGGCTGACTGATTCTGCCCTCAATACCAAAAACAAGCCATCTATTTCCTGTTTTGTGAATCCACATCTCGGCGTGCCGCGGCGTGGTGATTGTCAGGTAACATTTACAAAGCCCCCACTTTCTCTTTCTGTCTGTTTGCCATGCTAAAGCTTCACTCATGCTTTTATTTTTTTCCCCTCCTCTGTCCTTTTCCTTTACTGAAACAAGTTCATTGTGATTCGGAATGCAGTTCCACGGCTCAATGGGTTCTGTTTGAAATGAGATTTGAGAGAGTGAGCATGAGAGAGAAAGACAGAGAACCTAGCGTCTTGATGAATAAAAGATGGAGGAGCTAGCGTCTTATAAACAACAACAGAGCATAATTAGTTCAGTTCTTTTTTTTTTTATTTTAGCAACACTTTATGTGACATTTCCTTTGTGTGGCTTCTTTCATCATGCGCGTCCTGCCTGCTTTACATGTTGTGTGGGCTTCCTCTCCTTCTGCCTCGTAAGTCGACAATAAAAATGGAATATTTGCGTTCTATGCAAATGTACATGCTGACATACATTCCTGCATCCCCTCACTTTCCCACTCGATTGTTATAATGTGGCTTTCCTGTATGTTCACAACAACTATCTTACTTGTTATATTAAAACAATGCCAAGACAGCTATATATTATTCATGTTATTTACATACAACCTTGCAAAAACATGTGAATGTATTGTTCTGGAATGTGATATTTTCTTTATTTTCATGTAAAAGTATTTTTTCCTCACTTTTCCGGAAAGAAAACTGAAATTTATGATAACAAAGGCGTGATGAACATTTTTATAGCAGTAAAATCAACCAGATCATCACTGACAAATATATTGTAACGCTAAATTATACGACCATTAGCTATATTTCTTTTTTTTTCTTTATTTTAATGCATGATTGTTGTTCCTATTGTGCAATTGTAGTTAATCTCTTTCTTAAGATCATCTCAACTGCTAAAGACTCAAACTGTAAAATAAGGGTTTTGATTGTTAGGTTTTCCTCCTTTCTCACAGTTAATACACCTGTAATTAAGTTACAGATAAGTTGTCTTTTTTGTATCTCCATCAGCTCTCTAGTGTTTCTGATTACTTATTGGATTTGACAGGATGTGACCTCCTCTTAGATTTGTTTGTTTGTGATTGAAGTAAAGCTTCAGAAGAATTGTTTTCCACGTTAGATAGAATTTTGTAGAAGTAAAGTCAGTATATGTATCCTCCAACAAAAGACAATGATAAATTTTCTGTATGATACAGAGCCCGGGAGGTGACATGAACATTTTTTTTTTTTTTTTAATTTGAACGTTTGATTTAGTATCTAACACTTTTGTTTTATTATATCACATGTGCAATTTGGTATTTCGCATGTGCGTTTCATACGTATCTTGTACGTGTATTTTATATGTATCATGCGCATGCATTTAATCCTCCACGCACCTCATTTGTGAGAAGAAAGACAGAGTCATGGACAGAGAGCATATTATCAACATTTTCTTTCATTTAGGTATGACTCACAAAGAGATACTGCATAGCTTAGCCACATTTGGTATTGTTTTGAGTTGCAGACACCTCATCAGAATTCTCAAAGCACAGTGACGTGGGCAATATTCGGACTCGCAGGAAGTGATTTTGTTTATAAACCAACAGATAAAGGGATATTCCGGAGTAAAATTAATTAGGGTCAAACACACCGTAACACTGAGTTAGACACCCCCTTGAGAGGTGAACGTTGCCGAACGCTTGCTATGCTAGTTATACCAACTTTAGTAACAACCACACGATAGCAATACACAATGGTCTATGAAACCACACACAAACCCCAACCAAAACGTCACTCTATAGCCATGAATAATGCTCAGAACAGCACCTAACTTCAACAGTACATATAGGGTCCCAGCCACAGCACTATCCACCAAACATCTTTTTAACTTTGCCTGATTTCTTTAGCAAAGAGACTAAACACAACTCACCTACTCTCTTCCAGCAGCCGTTTGTTTGTAGCGAGACCTCAGGCCAGTCCATTATAGACTGCTGCAGGGTGACGCAGCTCAAGGAAAAACATTTATGATCATTACTTTATCATTTCCTTGAAGTAATATACATTATATTAACCATTTTGCACAGCAGACGCGGTAGTTCTTCTGCCTTAGCGTCTCGGTCTGATTGCATTTCGATGAAGAAATGATCATATAGTGGGTGAGTTGTGTTTAGTCTCTTTGCTAAAGAAATAAGCCAAAGCTACAAAGATATTTGGTGGCTTATGCTGTGGCTGGGACCCTATATGTACTGTTGATGAAGTTAGGTGCTGTTCTGAATATCAGAATATCCCTTTAGATCGCACCCGCAGTATAATAAAATGCATGTGTAAGATACTAAAGTGCACGTGCAATACACTAAAACGCACATGCAAATTTCAAAATAAAAATAAAGTTAATGTCACCTCCCGGGCTCTCTGGTAAGACAGTGAAGTTCCACATATGTTGAATGGCAGCATCCCAACACTTCCTGCTCTCTTTCTTGTGTCTGTGTGTTTGTCTCCTAATTTTCTACAGTCTCTCCACATACCTGCCTTGAGGGATGTGGCCTAGTCTAATGGCATTTGTGATATCCCCGGAGCACCTTAAGAGAGGACGATGACAGCATGTGTTTGTCTTCCTCTTTTTGCTTTCTCTCCCATACACGCACAGGCACACAGACAGACGAACAAACAAACACACACAAAGAGCGCGCCTTCCTAATCCTCGATTCCTCTCTCCCGCCCACTGCTGATGCTTTGGAGTCAGAGCCCTGTAAAGTCTTTAGCCTCAGGTGCTGCCTCAGGTCTGTGCAGTGGTGAGGGCAGGAGCGAGGTAGTAGAATCAAAGGATGATTGTGGTGAACATATGTGTATTAATGTGTTTGCATGGTGTGCTTTTTTTATTTTTCAAACACCGACCTGATACTCTCACCTCTAAGCCACTGCAACCTTTTCTCTGAATAGACAATCTTTCAACTCCCGGCTCTGGCTCATCAGACACCCCAGGGTGCACTGAGTGGATTCAATTAGCACAGCAGCTGAAGAAGATGTGAGAGTCTGGGGCCATGCTGTAGAGCTCCTTGTTGACACCAGCGCTGGTCAAGACCGAATCTCCTTCAGACACCTGCTTACAAAAAAAAATAATAAATAAAAAAAGCTAATTTAATTTCATGATCTGTCATTCCCTTTAGGGCTGTTTTTAACCATTTTATCTTAAGATGATAAGAGTGAATCCAAACCATAACCTGTTTTTATTATTCACAAAGACCCAACATAAAAGATAGAATAAGATCTATCTTTTTCTCTCTTAATGCAAAGTTCACACCATCTCAAGGCTCTCCTTACACCATATGGTTGCAGCCAACCATCTATTGAGTTGAACAAATGTCACATGTACAGACCACACTTCGGTTCAAAGAGTGACCCTGTAGTGTTAGACACCACCAACAAAAAAAAAAAAAAGTTGCAAACTTATAAGTCAGCGCATGATTTTAAGGTTGCTTCAATTGCTCTGCCAAGCACTGTGATGCAACAACAAAGAAACTCCATCAGAGTATAAGGGTGGGAGAAAAATCGAGACAGCATAGTATCATGATATTTCGTCTGGTGATATATTGTATCATCTCATTGACCAAGTATAAATTTTTTTCAAATTAGTTGTTAATATGAAGTCAAATCTTCAATAATGGAAAAATAAATCAACTGTTTGTCTTGTGAGGTTGGCAGAGGGGACATCATAGAGCAGGTGAAAGTTAGTACAGCAAATATAGCAGCACCCGGGGAAAGAAATTAGAAATGCAAGCAGGGCCCAAATGAGATGGACCTGACACATGAGGTTTGCAAGATGTGCTACCTGAAAATAAAATACAGTGTAAATAAGACAAATATATAGGGAAGACAATTGTTAAATTAGCAGTTGAAAAATTGTATAAATCGCAACATCTTGGATCGCAATACTCAATGTATTGCAAAATGTTAAAAATCGCAATAATATTGTATCATGGCTCAAGCATCATGATAACATTGTATCATGGCGTCACTGGTGATTCCCACCCCTATCAGTGTAATGTAAAGAAACGATCTCCGCTTTACAAAAGTAGAGGCTAAAGAGATGAAGGAGGCAGAACTCCCCAAACTCGACTTGTTTTGATCCCATTTAGAGAGTGATTGCTGTGTTTACCTAAGTCCAAATGATCCAAGACAAAGGGTTGTTTCAGAACTTTTCAAATCAATCAAGGTGTGAAAATGCCTGACGTCTGCATGCAGATAAAACTGTTAAGTTGTGTGCAAGAGGAAACTGAAGGCCTTAATCACAGCTTTTTACTGCAGGGGTGCTTAGAGTATTTGAACACAACGGCGATCATTAGGGCTAATATTTTAAGTAAGTCATGCATATTTTTCAACAGTACAAGTAAGATCTTGTTGCTTGGATTATTAAAATAAAATAGGAAAAATGAAAAAGGGAGAACTTTTCTTGATGTAAAACTCTTGCAGTTATGAATAACCATAAACAGTGAATCCATCAAAATTATCATCTCAGATCATGAAACAATGAGCCTCAATTTAGTCGAACAAAACATCATCTTCCCTCATAAAGGGCATTCTTGATTAAATAAGATGGAGCCACAGAAATGTCACCATCTGTGTTATTCTAAAGAGCAAAGAAAAGTCTCAGTGGACATTTCATTTCCTAATCCACAATCTGAAAATATACAGCAATAATGCACGTAACTCCCACACAAAGCAAGGTCAAAATGTGAGACAGAGAAACAATGAAATGAACACAAAAGGAAAAAAAAGAAAAACAAGTCTAAAAATAAAAAATGCAGCAGTTTTATTTTTGCAAACCAGATTCTTGTCAGAACAATGTTGCTGTCAGTTTTTTTTTTGGAAAAGAGATCAATATGTGCAAAACTGTCCACAAAACGAACCCTCTCAAAAATGGTTCAGTGTAACCACATGAGGCATGTCTACAGGAAGCATAAAGAGCTCCTTTGAATACTGTGAAAGTGCATCCCAACAACCAGCCAACACAGACAGCAGGGATACCCAAAGTGTTTCACTTTTGAAGGTCGGTGCTGAGGTTAAGCTTGTGAATTGTGGCAGTGACTCTGTAGACACAGATATCATTCTGTCTACCATCTGTGTAAAGAGTAATCTGAAAATTTGCCTGAACTCTGCCACAAAATACTATTAAGCTTTGTTGATTTGCAAAAAAAAATTCCTCCACATTGAAATGGTGTTCACTGTCATGTTTACTTTATAGAAATCTGCCAACATCTGTTTTCCAGTTTTTCATTCCATGGGTAGATGTGTCAATATTCTGTGTGGGACTAATTTTCAGCAAACAATATAGCACTGCCAGTGTAGCACAAACAGCTAATAGAAGGTGCAGGAGTTTCTGATAAAAAAGGGTCAAAATTTTCACAACATGAAAAGTTATGTAGGCAAGTTGTTGATGCCGTAACAGGAGCAGTTTAGCCACACGACCGTATGGGAGAGTGTTGTCTTGAGTTCTGACTGGATGAGGGTTTGATCAGAACTTTCCCTCCCATCGGATATGAAAAAGACTGCTCGATTTGGAGAGTTAATTAATAGGCAAGTGAATGAGATAAAGATGATAATTTATCATACACAGCTGCAGTATTTATGTCTTAGAAAGTCTTTGGTACAACCTAAAGCATAAGCAACAAAAGCTGTTGCCTAGGGCCCCACCGCCTCCAGGGGGCCTCTTAGAACTGGTCTCATCCCATTGCCTCTGAAGTGTCACATTCATGTGCAATACATTATTATGCATGTAGACTGCATGGAGCAGTGGTGGCTGTCTCTTTAATTTGTTTCTTTTTTTTACCAGATTTTACATCTCAGCCCTGTACACCAATCATGGCAGCCTATTCTTTAACAAGTGTAACAAATGTAACAAGTGCTGCTGTTCAGCTGCAGGAATACCAGGTTAGCTAGAGTGACCATATTCTGAATCCCCAAAAAGAGGACATGACTACGCAGGGGTGGAGTCAAGGAGTCGCAGAAAGTCAAATTTGAGAGTTTTTCAGGTCGGATCAAGTGTCTTTCACATGCTTCTAACTCAATCAGTCCACGTTACGCAAACTCAAAACTTCGTACAAAACCACAGACATTTGATGGATTTTATAAACTTCGCCAGACAAAGACGGACAGCCCCCCAAAAAGCGGACATGTCCGGGTAAGAGAGCGCATATGGTCACCCAAGGTTAGCGTTCTCTGATCAGGATTAGTGAAGAAAAGAAAAGAAAGTTCACTTTCACTCATAATATGTTTGTGAGGCTGTTCTACATTCATATTCGCTAGCTAGTTCTTTAAGAGGGCAAAACTCGCTGTTGTTAGCTGACGGCTAATTTCTCTCAATGTCAGTAATGTTCCAGACACCGTACACTCAGCTCTGTTATCCACCTCCACAGCTGATCTTCATACAGCAGATACATTTTAGACAGAGACATCAGTATATCTATATGAATAAAACAGCATTTTATTTTTGTGAACCACTCAGTCCACTTGTATTCCATGGCAGAAGCTTTGCCCACACTTATTGCTCATACCTCATGACTTGGGATAGCCTGAAAACACGTTGAAGCAATGTGGTGGTACAGAACTGGTCAAAGGGTTCTTTTGGACATTTGTTTTCATTATAACAAGAAATCAAAATTTGTTGCGCTACCATGAAGTCACGCTGAGGAGCTACACCATGAGTTGTGACGTGACACTACTAAGACTTGGTGCCTTGAGCATGTAAACACCATGAAAGTACCAAACGTGCCCTGTGTAAATGGATGACATGGAATTTCAAATCAGAAAGGTTTCAATCAGAACAGCAAAGAGCGGTCTTGTTAACTCACTTGAATGAACCAGGGGTGGATAAAAGAGAAATCAAAAAGACAGCAGATGTACAGCTGCAATACAACTAGCATGTAAAATAACATCACCCTGACTGAGCTTTTACTTAAAAATCATTACAATTAACTAAGCTCACTATGACTTCCAGGCTTTACAGCATCTAAACACTTGATCCTCTTGTCTTTTAGTCCAAGGAAATTGGAGTGGTGTTGTCAAGAACAAAAGCAAACAATTCTCACAGGTCCTTTTTATCCTCTTAGTTCAAGTACAGTTTCTCTACCCGTTTGTGACTGTGCCTTAAATTAGGGGGCTGAGTAGATCTCCAGTTTCCTTTGTTTTTGTTTGCACTCATATTAATTTATACTTTGGCAAGATACTAGATCCCATATTAGTCTGTGAATTTAAACAAATCATAAGTTTGTTTGATACCCTACACAGCACGTAATAGGTTGATGTGTGGCAATAGGTGGATGCCAACATGTAGTATGAAGAACTTTAAGGTGTCTGAAGCATTCTCTTCTGCAGTATTAACTAAACACTATGCTGACCACATACAGGCTACACAAAATAGCACTTCTGAATCTGTGAGACAAGATCCAGAAGCTGGAGGTGCAAAAACGAAACCTACGTGTGTAGTCTGTGTAGCTCAGAAGTTGTTGATGTTTCTTCCAGTTTCCTTTAACAGCTTTGGATTTGATATATTCTGAATTCACATATCCCCGTTTGAGATGACTGCCTCTCTGCTGAGTTTACTCAGAATCAGCCTGCCCTGATTGTGGATCTGTCCACGTCTCGAAAAGGAATTTGAAAAAAAAAAAAGTAAAAATTTCCTCCCTGTCCTGTGATGTCAGGGTAAAATCAATCCGTCATACAATTAGGGGTTTTTAATTTTGGATCAGATTGTGCTAATTGGTTTTTCACACAATGACACTTGCTGGGACTTAACCATTGCAGACAATTACTGGAAAGTAACTTTTCTTTAAGTATAGTTGTTATAGTTTACGCTATGACAATGTTGTGGGCAAAAAAAAAAACAAAAAACTGTAAGCACAAATTTCATTAACTTACCATAGCCTTAGTCTAGCTTCACTGACAGCTGTCAGCATGTCCATGCGCCCTCTTGTCATATACTCTTGTCCTTTTGCCTTTGACACTGAGGTCAGCCCCCTCTTCCATCTCAATTAATATTTCATTATGGGGCATCATCACACCTCTCTGTCACTTCTCCAGTCACGTGTGCTCTGCTAGCTTCACCATCTATCCTTGATTATTTTTTCTTTACATATGAGTCTGTTTAAACACTCCTATTCCAACTTCCTAGATTTCCTAATCTGGTTAACCTGGATTATATATTGGGATTTTGGCTTGGAGGGAAAGCATTTCATCCCCAGATGCAGGATATTCATTCAGTCAGACCTGCTATCCACATAAGAGTGTCCAAGGACTTGATACTGAAGCCTAAATCGCTCCAAAAGGCAAGTCTATCCCAAGACATCCTGAGATTTAATCTCATCCAAAGCATTACAGACCAGCTTGGCCTCCTCTCTTCAGGACTATTTCTTCTTTTTAAACTTGCTCCCTATCTGAGTCCTTTTAAACTGATCCAAAAAACTGCCTGCAAATCTAAAACAGTCCTCCAGATAATCCAGTCTTACCTGGCAGAACAGGAATCTGCATGTTTACGCTCACATTTAAGTCAGGCTACGGTAATAACTGTATTAGACAACTTAGCCAAACAATCAATCTTATAACGATATTCAACCAGTCACAGTTGGAATGCTGATGGTCAGTGATGATATTGACAAGAGAATAAAAGCAGAGCATTGCAATGCAGCTCACCTCCTGATCCGGCCTTCCATCCTTGGTGATGAAAACAGTCCATTTAAAAACACCTGAAAGGTAAACATGAGCACATCAGATAGGCAATCATACAGGATCTCGGCTGTGTTGTCTCTGACCTTCTTCCTGGCCTGAGGCATGGTCACATTTCCACCATCTTCTCAGGGACAAACAAACAAACACAAGACGACAAGAAAAGAGAGAATTTACAAAAGACATCGACAGTCAGAGGAAAGTGCATCACTAAAGAGACACAAAGACAATATGACTTATCAATAACAAGATAAAACGTACAACCTCGGCGCATGTATTCACCTGAGTGTTTTGAGTCCTTGTTTGTGTCCTGTTTTGATTGACAGCTGGAGTCCATGATAGCTGTTCATAACGTAGACAGGCTTGTGCAAAGACAGCTGCGTGTGGACAGGCCCATGGGCAGCATGAAACATGACAACCTTGAAATAGCCAAGGCTTTGTTTGTCTAGCTGAGACCTACCATCCTCTGTCCATCTCGTCACTCTCTCTCTCCCTCTCTCTGTCTGTCTCTCTCTGTTCCAACTCATGAGGGGTATCAACAAGTGATCTTTCTGGGACCGGCCATAATGAATAGAGAGAGCAGCACCATCACCCTTTGAAAGCCTTATTATTACAGAGAGCGAGAGGCATACCTCACTGACAGAGGAGCCAGAGAGACAAAGAAAGAGAGCACCCTGGGCTGAGAGAAGGTGGCGAGGCAGATAGTCGAAGATAGGCATGTGTGGTGGGAGGGGGGTGGTTAGTGGATAAAGAGATAGAGGGCAGAGACGAGGTTGATATAGAGGATTTATGAGGGGCAGTGTGCGCTGGTTGTGTGTGTGTGTGCAGCTAGCGGATGTTGTTAGTTAAGGATTAAGTCTGGCGGACAAAATTAGGTGAATGGAGGAGTGATGCCTGGTGTGTTTGGTACAGGAGGAAATAATGAAATGTGATAAATTAAAAACAAACGCCTCCATCTGGTTGACTTTCTATTCATCATGTTTGGTGGAAGAATAAAGCAGCTACAAAACTTTGACTACTTTGTAATTTTTAAGATTCTGACCCTGACCGCTGTCAGGACTGAACCCGTACAGGCCAAAATGCTATAGCGCTAACAAACTCCTCAGTGTGGTGTAGGACTTTGTCTGGAACAGGCTACCACTGTCAAAACATATCCTTTAATCTCCTCCCATGTGCCCAACCCCCATCTTTCTCTGAAAATCTAGGACATTCTTTTTCATCATCAGTGTTTTTCTTGGTCTCTGCGGTACACTGAACTCCAATGTCAAAATGAAACTCAATAGTTAAGGAGTCTCTTTCTTTCGGGCAGTTTCTTTGGTCAGAGGCAAAGTCCAGGGATGAATGCATGGCAGTGGTCGCTTTTTAGCTTTTGCATCAATTCATGGGAAAGTGACATATGGAAGAAGAAGAAGAAGAAGAAGAAGAATTAATGAGAAGTTGTGTCCTGTATATCATTTGATAGGTGTGCTTAAAGAGAATTAATACAGAACAGTAACATGAGGGAAAAGTTCAGTGTGCATGTTTCTGCATGTGAACAAGAAGTGACAGTTGTTTGAAGTGATCCAATTAGGATTAACTTAAACAATAGCACCTCTAATGATACCATAATCCTTTTGTTTGTTTGCACAGAGAAAGTTATAATTAATAATTTAAAAAAGATAATTAAAGGAAAGAAAAAACAGTTAGACATAATTGGGAAATAACATAATTTGATGAGATACCTTGAGAAAAATAACACACATCAAAAACTGTATTCTCTGATCGTTTTCTGTTATGATCTCAATTGCCCATAAGCTTTCCCTGCTATCATTTCACTAATGACACTTATACCACACCATTTGGCTTATGAGCCATTGTGCTGTATCTCTAATGCCTCTGAATGCAGCAAACACTGATGAAAACACTGACATTTCTCTCTCTCTCTCTCTCTCTCTCCACTCAGATCATGCTAATGTTCCCGATGCTGCTCTTCACAGTCTCACCTCTGAGCGTGAATCCTAAGCTGACAGCTAGGTGTAAAGGGGTTCTGACCGGGTTGCCTTGTCTTGCATTTATTTCAAGAAATATTCATGGGCTGTAGATTGAACCCTTTGCACAAACAAATGCTTGGTTTTCCATGCTGCCACTAGGTGGTGCTGAAATGCTTTCCTCCTCCCTGCTCGATAGACCCCCATGGATTTCTTTAAATGGGTCTGATTGGGTTGTTGTTGAAGGAGTTTGCCAGGCATAAGGCAAGATTTACAGTCCCAGATTTAATTGTGTTTTGAAGAGAAAAAAAAACAGCTATAATGGCATTAGAAATACAATACAGCTATAAAGGGCTCCAGGAATTTCAATTTAAACACTGAACTGCAGAGCACCCAGCAGCCCATTGTTTGGTAGAGTAAAGATGGGAACTGATAGGGAGCTTTCTCCTCTTTTAGCCTGTGTTCAGATTAAGTCTTGTGATCTATTATTCATTTTGCTGATTCTTCTCATTGCAACTGGTTTGCATAAACCTACAGCATCATTAAATTAAAGTAGATAATTGATTAGTTCTACTGTAACACACTTCAGAGTTCACTGTGTGCACAAAGTATTAAGAACTCCAGCTTTAAGGAGTCTAGCTGAATAAACATTATAAGCCTCAAGATTATTGAGCTATCGACCAAGCAAAAACAAATTTACATCAATGTTTGGAAAGTGCAACTCTTATTTTAAATACTGGTCTTAGACAATGTGGATAAATAAGAGACGCAGAACTTCAAAATGAAAACATTTCTCTGCTTACAGCTATGTTGGAGAGGGGAAGAAAGACAGATTGCATCAGGCAAAGGGTTAGGATCTATAAAAAGGAGCTGAGAAAGGGATAGACAAATCTGAGTCTGCAAAAGCAAACAGATATATTGGTCTCTACCTCTAAACCTTTCCCTAGGCTGCAATATTCGCTAGAGCGCTCTTCCCTGGCTCCTTTCTGGCCATACTATCCATGCCAGGCTGAGGTAAGTATGGAGAAATTACCTGGGCTTTTCCTCTGTAGTGGAACACATATAGTGGCATATGACTGCCAGTGGAGAATTAATTAGTGATTGGGACAAGGTTGCAGACACATAATGAAAGTTATTGGTCATGTCACTTCATCATTTCCCCGGTCCCCTTATTACTTTCTATCAGCTTAGTCAGCCGTGAAATGGGGGTTTCATATGACGCAAAGTGGAATGTGCCACCACACCTTTACCAGCAACACCTCCCACCCGATTCTCCCAGAGGGTTCACACATGGATGATCAAGGCACTTAGACTAATGCGGATGGTGCAGGGTGATGAGGAAGGATTGGGAGTATTAACCTATCGTTATACATCATTACGGGACATTTAGGGATCATTCTGTCACACGACAGTTTTCGCAACCATCTCCAGCCCTAATTCTCCCACTTAACCTAATAATCAGGGGTGTCTCAGCTTGAACTGCAGATCTGATTGTGAAGCCATAACCGAAAACCTTGGAAAATGAGGCAGTAGCATTTATGGTTGCTAATTCCTCAATTCTGAAGCAATACAAAGTAGATGTTTTAATACTGTACTGAGAGGTAGACGAAGTTATGCTGGTAATTGCTTTTTTTCTTTTTCTTTTGTCATTATTTAGCAACATGTCTTGTTTCTAGGCATTGTGTGACGTCATCAAATGTGCCCCATTGTTTGATTCATCACCTCAGACACAAACACTCCCGCACAACTGATGGAGCCTTTTCACCTTTTCTAATTATATAGCTGACTGTTGTCTGCATATCCATAAATAACAGATAATACCTATTGTGCTCGACTCAAAGGAATGTATTTCTTTGCAGATGGAAACAACGCACACAAACAACTTGTGGCAATGAGGGAGAAGCTAATCTTCTCTGTTACCTGATAAATCAGAAATTATGTCATATCAAATAATCTGAACGTATCTGTATAAAGCCAAACTTGAGCTGATTAACAGGACTCGGGTTCACAATATATGTAAACAGAAAACAAACAAAAAAAAAACATATTAATTATAAAAATCTTCGTAACAATCAACACAGGCAAGTCAAAAACATCCTGTTGGCGAACCAGGAGTAACTGAAATTATCATCGGTATTGATGGATTCATGTTGGCTTGCCTCCATGCTCACACAGAGGTGAATATAAGGCATTCACCAACATCGTACATTGATACCATCTGCATGCTTGCAAGTCATTTGGTAGTTTAATGATACTTAATAAATATTGCAGCGCTATTGAAAATTTGGGAAAATCGCCTTTTTTTCTTTTTCTGTTTTGAGGAATGGTGACAATGTTTTGAGACTCTAATTCAATACCATTTGTTGTTAGCTTACAAAATCAAACGTGTTTGCTTCGCAGTTCCAAGAAATGCTAATATGCATGCAGTTTAGCTCTACCAGCAAATACATTACATTTCATTCACCGCCATTTTGCACTTTGATCTCGGAAAGATGTGGTTGTATGGGGTTTTTTTTTTGTTTGTTTTTCTGTCTATGTAATTCTTCAAAAGTTAACATAGGATTTTTTTTCTTATTCCACTGTGGTGAGCATGACAGCACGAGACATTACTTTAAATTTAAATGATATATGGTCAAATGAATAAATAAAAACATTAAGTAAAAAGTTACTTAGCTTAACAAAATAACATCCACACAAGTGTCTCAAGCTTTTTTTAAGCATCTAATCCGACCAGAACACTAAAATTCAGTAAGAAGAACCAGTTTACGACTGATAATCTGATTTTACCATGCAGGCCATCCAAAGGCATCAATAAAAGAGTGAAACTATCTCAATATCAGTCCACACAGAGCCTTTAACTAAGCTGAAACACACTTAACAGAGAAAACCCCTCTGCATTTTGCTTATTTTTCAACACTGCTGGATCTACTTGTTTTCCCAGAGAATACATAATGATAGAACATAATAATGAGGGTTTTCTCACACCATCTATGAAACTAATGAGTAATATTTTTGAGCTGGGTATGCATCGGCTAGTTTCATTTTGCCTTGTTTCACTTTTTTTCTATACTGTAGACGGTTTGACAAACATCTCCTCAAATACACCCCTGAGTGAAGAAAAACTTTGTAAACTAGCAATCAGCAGATATATCTGCATTGTGCATAAATGTAGCTTTTGTTAGACAAGAATGCACATGTACCTACAGCAACATACAATAGGTATTGTGTGCTACACATAAAGGCATTCATTTTCCACCATGAAACAACAGTCTTGTTTGATTTTTTTCAGGTAATGGTGCATGAAAATAAATCAAAGACGGTTAGACTTTGCTTATCAGAGTACATCTTTCCAATGCAAGACAGTAATAATGGAGATAACAGTAGATTGTAAGGTGGTATTTTTGCAACACCTTCACAATCACCCACAAGAATTCTGTCACTTTCTGTGCTGTGTGCTCGAATGGCCACCTTTGATGTGTGAAGTATGTTTGATATCAGCAAAATGGCAATATGCTTTTTTATTTTTGAAGAGGTAAAGAGAGGGGACTCTGCAGTAATGTCAGCGTCTTAGATAAATGCAGATCAAAAAATAAAGAAATAAAAAAACAAAAGACCATCAAAGGAAAACGCAGGTACAGAAGCACTTACTCTGAAATGGCTGTGTGGGCAATCTGTAAAGTTTCAAAATTTCTTTGTCTTATACTTTTACTTGTTTTGTGATGGCTGCTGCTTTTTTTTACCCTTTGTTCAAGATGGGGCCCATCCATCACATAGGCATCTTAGACATCAGCACAGTTCTCCAAATCAATGGCTCATTGACTGCCCTAGCAGCAGACATGGACACACGTCCGTCTCCTTGACAGTTACAAAAAAGAAACAGGAATACAAATTGGGCTTCACTGTCTGACTGTGAGGGCAAGAGAATAGATCATTGACAATCATGACACAAATCCATCACTGATTCTTGAAAACCTCCTTTCTCTTGTTACCCCTGGTTCCCCCTGGTCCCTTTGCTTAGTGTCTGTCGATATAGACATGCTTGGAATTTTTTCATTCTGTTTGGCTGCCTCTACAGGACTTTAGGCTTTGGAGCTTTAGAGGACATTTTGACAATGAGAGAAGGATTGAGGAGGAAGCCTGTCAGTGGCTTTGCTGTTTATTGATTGCAAATGTGGTGAGAGCTTAATTGATTCACACTTGGAGATCAACATGATAATCTCTGGGCCCTAGGACTACAGTTAGCGATGAGGTAGGGCAGGAATCTGGTTGAAAGTTAAGTTTGTTTTCTGCCTCCAGCCAAAAAGTCAGGAACATCAATTTTGCTGCAAGCCTCTTAGTTTAGGAAATAATTGAGAAACTGAAAGGACAAGGAGGGCAAGATGATGAACAGCTGATTTGTGATTTGAGCAGCTGGACTATGTAGTATTTGATTAATTGATTTCATGGGCAAAGAATTAAAGTTTTTTCTTCCAACTGCACCTATTAATTTAGACCAATAAACTTTGAAGAATAGACAAAAAAGGTTGTATTTCCTTGACTTGTTGGGTTTGTTAAGCTATAACAAATATAAAATACATACATTCTTATTCTGTTTGACTTCCACAACAGCCAGCTCTGGATTTTTCAAGAGAAAAATGGCAAAAAAGGGATTAATCTTTAAGTTTTCAATTCCCCAAATCCATGTTTTAAAGCAAATATAAAACCAAAACATCCCATTTCTTTTTGGATTCATTAACATTTTTATAATTATCGTGAAATTTTGTGCATGGGACAAACATAATCACCTTTTTTGTCATCTAAAATGTAAGCTGCATCCTGAACAACACTCAGTATGTTTACATGACACTCAAGAAAACTGAATTATTGCCTTACTCTGATTAAGACCAGACAACTGAAGTGCATGTAAGCACCTTAGTCTAACTTTGAACTGAGTCAGAGAGCTCTGATTGGAGTCAGAGAACTCTTATTAAGACACCCAGATAATACAATTGTAATTCGATTTTCTCTGCCATGTAACCAGCGTAGTCGGAGTACGATTGAACAATGCATGTGCAGGTGTGCCACGCCTCCATAACCCCAGAACAAAAACAACAGAGAAGAAGTGGCGCTATCATTTAAAGAAAAAGTAGTGCGTACATCATGTATGACAAAAACAACGCTGTAAGATGCTTCATCTTCTTGCTCGAAAATGCCCAGCAGCAGTTGTAGCCACTTCTGATGTCTGGCACGGACCTGCTGTTGTTGTTGAAACAGCGCCGCTGAAAAGACCCATATTTCCCTCCAGTTTTGGGGAGTAGGACAAGTTCACGTCATAATTTGATCTTCTCAGCTGCATAAGACAACAAAGTTGAAGATGGTTATACAAGTTTTAGTAGATTGGTCACAGGCAGTGGGTCTGTCTTATGGTTCATGCTCAAGAACATGTTCAGCATTTCTGTATATCAAGACTAGAGACGCTCAACTACAGTTCTGGTAGCTAGCTGGGTAGTGAAAACAGATTGTACTAGAAAGAGCTTCACAGTTGCACACAAACTGTACATTATTATGGACTTTTTGAAAGCAATTAAATTCTTAAAGTAGAAAGACAACACAAACCCTTTCCCCTGCAGAAACTGACTGCTTGTTGTACATCAGTGTGACAGACAATTTGTATCATACAGCAAGTTTCTAGACTATAACCCTGACCCCTGGTTAGACCCTGTCTAATAAATCCAGCTTCTAGGCTTGTTAAGTTTACAGTAAAGTTTACAGAGCGTTTAATGATTTGAGGCCTTTACACAGAGTGCAATTATTGGTTAATGTTCATATCATTAATCTCTGTCTTTCGTTGTTTAAAACAAGTGCTTTTACCTCAATGTTATTTTAGCTCTTGGTTATATTTGACCCCAATTTGACAAACAGCAAACACACAGTAGTGTTTAGTCCGATCTCGGCAAATCTGTGCTTACTGACTGTGTACTTTCATTGGATCCACAGAGGCAACAACTGCAAGTCCAATTATTTGTCGATTTAAATGGTCTTCTGGTACCAACAGAGCAGTTTCAAACTGTCCTACTTCAAAGACTAAGCAGATCATATTTCCATCTCCGTCTTGGTGGTTCCCTACCTTACATTTTATCCCCTGCGCCTTCTATCTCACTTCAACAAGCCCTAAAACACCAGTTTCAGTCCTTTCTCGTCTTATTAGAAATCGTCCAGCAGTTTCTCTCTCCATCATCAAAAACCAAGGACCAGTTGTTCCCCTATCGATATGGCGTCCCAGGGTGAGGCCTTCAATCTGACGAGAGACAGAAGCCACTGATGGGATTGCTGCTAGACCTGCAGGCGGCTGGCCAGGCAGACTAACAAGTAAGTAGATGGACACCTAAAAGAGTTTGTCAGAGTGAAGCTGCCTTTTCAGTGGTGTTCTGGGGCTTAAAATGGAAAAGGCAGGATGAAAACAAGCCTACATGGGACCATAGCCATTTCTCTGTGTTCTGCAGATGAACGGAAGACGCCTGATCAAGCACAGCGGGGAGAGAGAAAGCCAGGCTGGGAGGCCAGAAGGATTTGTGTCCTGTTTGTATCTCTCTCTCTCTCCCTCTCTATCTATCTATCTCGCTCTCTCCCTCTCTCTGTGCGTGTGTGAGGCCATGTGTGCATGGCCATAAGTGTATGTCTGGGCATGGGCATATGCATAGATTGTCTCTAAAAAAGAAAAGGGAAAATGGTTGGGGATGCCCTCAGGCCAAATCTTCAGAGTCTGGGAAAAAGTTTTTTTTCCTCTTTACAAGGTGAATACAACGCTATTACCGAGCTGTTTCTAAGATGAAAGGCAGCATTTACTGGTGACTGATTGATGCCTTATGATGCACAGCAGAGTGTTTGATGTATCAGTGATCCTTTTACAACTGGTATGTACAGTTTATGCTTTTGTATGGCCATTGAATCAATTTCTGTCTTCTTTAATTAATCTAGAGATTTCTTTTTTATTCGCGAGGCCAGAGCAACATCTTAACCACTGAATGGCGGTCTACGTTGAAACTTCAGTTGGAATGAAATCGAGGGAAACTTCAGAAAATACTACGATCAAAGCAAAAGTGCATATACGTGTGGATCTTGCTCATGGCAAATCATATCAAGAGATATTTTATATCTCAAGCTTTTGCAAAATGAAGTGTTCTTTTATATAATTATATTAATTAAATAAATGAAATTGGATCCCTGTAAGTAGATATTGGCTTAAAAGGTTCAATCCAGCTGTGGGGAAGCAACAAAAGAAAACATCTTTACAACCCTTTTATGTTGGGGGGGGGGGGTAATACAGGTCAGAAATAATGGACATAATGAACAGTAACTATTAACGTTATGACTGTTTTTTGTTTGTGTGTTTTTATATACTCTACTACCTTCTTACTAGATTTCCTGGGGAAGCACAACTTCAACTTCACCACAGTGAAGCTGATGAGAATCACTCTAACATTGAAGTTATGACAGTTGTCTACTTTTGTTTGTTCACTCTATCTCTCTCTTGGACGGCACAGAGGTTAAACTATTTTCAACTTCGAGGGCAGAGAGTGCAGAGACGAAAAAACATCTGACATTGATGGTATTTTTGCAGTGATCATTTTAAGCACTTAAAACACGACTGCATATTTTTATGCTTGAGTTAATTATTGATTAATTATTTTGGCGAGTTTTTGCCTTTATTGATGGGACAGGTAGAAAGTGTGGGGAGATAGAGAGAGGAGAGGGGGGAGGAAATGCAGCACAAGGTCAGGGCTGGACTCAAACCCACGACTGCTGCGGGGACTGTGGTCCCCAAGTTGGGGCACGCTAACCCACTCGGCCATCTGCATGCCCCCAAAATGTATTCCTTTTAACTATCAGCACATATTGGTTTCAAATATCAGTTGTCTAATATCATGACTAGTCATAAATAGTATTGCTATGGGCCATGAAAAACCCATATCAGTGCAGCCCTACCACTGACATCACTAAGTCCTTCCCACAACAGCAGCAGCTCGCCCACTTTGCACCACCACATAATTTAGTATCTCCTCTACTCTCCATTCAGCAGAAGAGTTTCTCCCCTCCTCTACTTGGCCTCATTTTTCCTCTACAGAAATGAATAGTTTTTCTAACAGCAAATTTAAGAGATTATTTTTTTTCCTGAATAGTGTACAATGTACAGTAACACCAACATTAATGTTGGTTTGACTTTTAAAAATTCAACAGTAGAGTTGACCCTGTCTGCAGCAGTATGATTTGGTTCTATGACTAGTTTTCTCAACAGAGGCCAACTTCAGCTGATAATTCAACTATTGCTAAGAAGTTCCTCAAACTATGAATTAACCATTTTAGCCGCTTACTGTGTTGATCTGAGACTTATACATGGTCCCTTCAAGTAAAGGTGAAGACAAGACTGTCACATTGTATTAAAGGACCCAAGGACACAGACAAAACCAAGGAACTCAATTAACAAGGGGGCAAAAGGTTCACAAAATTTACTCAAGTCAAAGCTCAAAAGTCCAATATGGGGACAACTGAAGCAATCAAACAGGTGCAACACAAGACACAAGGGAAACTAATCAGGGTAATCAAGAAGGAGGGAATACAAAACTAGATGTTATGACGCACTGGTGAATAGGATAACAAAATCAGACAGAAGACACTCAGAACATGGAACAGGATCCAATAACAATCAGGTATAAATAGGTTCAAAAGTGTTAAAGAAACGTATTAAACACAAGGTAAACGATGTGATATAACAGGAAGTAGGGAAAAGACTGCAATACCAGCAAAATACAAAACTAAACAAAACAAATATTTTTGCATAAACCACTTATGGACACTGACTCTCCAGTTGAAGTAGGTTTATGTGTGTGAGGCATTTTTGCCTGCTTACTGGAGCTAAATACTGAATTATTCATTGACCTGTTGTCACTGACGTCAAATCAGAATTTGAAGTAATTTACTTGAACCACTTTCAAATCTCAAACTGTTATTTAAACCGAATTGCAGTATAGATGTTCATCAGCAGCAGATATACCCACTGTGCCAATGAATGACGCTGGCAACAAACGGACTGCAGGCACCTTTGGTTTCACTATATTTTCTTGTCATGTTGTTGAAACATAACTTGAAAACAAAACATTTCATGCAAAAATTATAAGCTTTCTTAAATGAAAGTGCCCCCAGAGCTACTTTGTGCACTGTGCAGTCAGTGCTGTGACTAATCCCACTCTGTGACCTGTAGCAGTGCAATAAGGTTTTTCCTTTATTTAGTGTTAAGTACGTTGAACAGGGGCAGGATTATGCACTTTAAGAATCACATTGGCTGAATAATAACAATGACAAAAATAATCTGAACACAATTGGTCATTTCTTTAATTCGGTTTCATGACTTCAAGAGCTGCAATGCACCCCTCTCTCTGCTCTATAATGAGCAAACTCTATAAAACTTAAGGTCAGGTGAAGAAAATCACTAAGCAGTGTGGTCTAAGCACTACACTACATTTGTGGTTAATTAAAATTGAATATATTAAGTAATATAAAAATATTCCAAAACCTTACCTTGGTTGTTTAACTGGGAATAATTTGCAGCCAATTTTTGGATCTGGCATAAAATTATGGTGAGCAATCAGAAATTTCATAATGTACAATCGGTAAAGGATAATATTTGATCACACTATCAGTTTTAGTGGATCTTATTACTCATACACCATCAAACTGAGTTGCAAAGACATGGAAGGACATCTGTGACCGTCTACTCCAAATAAGAAAGAGCGAACAGATGTTACTTCAGACACAGGTAAGCCAAAGGATCTGCAGGAGAGGAGCAGTGAAATCTGCGGTGGCATAATCTTTGCAATTTGTTGGAGGCACAAAAGACGTGCTGTATGGACTGGTGAAGTGCCAGCTGTGCATTTTAAAGAGCAGAAGTTTACAGAGAGGAAGCAATCCTTTCTCAAAGACAGATTTCTGTCAGATGCAATCATTTGCTTTTCATTTACACTCATCTAAAGTGCGTCTGTAGCATTAACATCTTAATTCTCATGTTAAATTAGAATTAAACATCCCAAAATAAGACCCGAGAAAGCCAACTAAAAAACGCTGCATCACAGTAAATCTCTTTTCAAAACATTATTGGTTATTAAGGATAAAAAAGTACATTTCTATTAGATTTCAAGGAAATTATGTAAACAGGTGCCTGCCTCAGTCGTGTGTTAACTCCATGAAAAAGACAGATAGATCTACCTAAAGTGTGCCGCAGATATCAGGAGCATGACCTCTCTCTCAGTGATCAATCGATTAAAATTTGCAGAGGTAAACCCAGAACATGAATACATTGGCATTTCTAAAAAGCATAAATTGAAATGCAGAAACAATACCATTCAGTCATCAGGAACAAATTGATGAAAAAGGTCATGAAAAAATGTAAATTCTTTTGTTGAGAAAAAGAAACGTGTTACCTTTTTTTCTGAATTCCTTGTCTCCTGTTGCATGATCACTTCAACGCTCTCCCTTCTTCTCCTTCACTTCACTGCAGGTCTCAGCAGGTATCCAGTCAGGCGAAAGTAGCCTGTTACCCTCAGGTTAGACATCCCAGCATTCTACTGCTTCACATGCATCAGGAATCTTGCATGATGTCTGTCTTGGTTGCTACAAGCACTACAACAGTCAACTGTGCTCTCACAGCTTCTTGACTGCCAAAATGCATTAACTAGAACAAACTCTAAATAATTCAATATCTGGGTGACACAGCTTGGTGAGAACACCACATCGCAAGATTGAAACTTTATCACCAGACACTGTGAAAAGTTCCCAAAACAAATAATTACCGGGGTATTAATTGTGGCTTGTCCTAAGTAAAAGAAGATAGAGTGAAGACTTAATTAAAAAACTCATTATATTTTCATTTTCAGAATTTCTCAGTTTTCAGATGAATGTGGCATATTTTTCTTCTCCTACTATGTGTCTCTGTCTAAACTCTGTCATTCTTATACAGAAACTGACACACACAAGCACACACACACACACACACACACGCACACACACACACACACACACACACACACACACACATTGTCTTTCTGTAGGAATCCGTGCACCACCTCTGAGGTTACAAAGTGCTTGCGTGCATGCATGCGTGTTCGTGTGTGTGAGCTTCTGCATACAATGTTGCAATTATTCATTTAAATCCAGGCTCATTTTTCAGTCTGCTTCACTCTCCCTTTTTTTTTTTTCTAAAGAGAGAAATTGAGAAATTAATTTCCGCTCTCCTCTGGCGCAGATGGGAATCCACAGGAAAAGGCTGCTCGTTCTTGTCAGTGAGAGACGAAAACACCTCGTTGGCAGGTGTCACACTGCTCTTTTTTTCTCCTCTACCCCCTCGCATGGCCTCACTTACACTCACACAGACCCGGTCCTCATCTTTTATGGAGTAAAAACTGCATCAGCATAGTCTCTGAAAGAAGTCTTTTATTGCACCTGACCCCTACCACCTGACATGCTCTGTCCAACGCTGCGCCCTGCATTTAAATATCAAGACAGAGGAAGCACAATGCCTAAGCACTGCACGCTCTGAAAACCTCCCTCCTCACTCAGCATACTCTGTCATAACACGGCTCATCCCTGGGTCCTTGGCCACACAAAGGGGACTCTCTCCTATGCTGAGCGTTCTCACAAAGTTATGAATAGAGACTGGTGGGTCAGAGAGCTCCCATGGGACACAGTTTGACACGGCACCGGAGGGACACGTAGCTAAAAGGCTGTACACACAGGTCCCCTGCTCTTAAAAAAACAAAAAAAAACAAAAGTGTTCCTGAGTTTGGTTTAAGGGCAGCCTATTCTCACACACATAGAAACATACATGCATTATTTGCATATCATGGTTTAAATGCAGACACTTTCTACAAAATGATTTGAATTTCAAACACAGAAAGATATAAAAGCAAACAACAAACTGCAGGTTCTTTCAGCACTCGATGCCACTCTGCTTGCTCACTTTGGTAACTAAGGTCAACTACAGTACTCCAGACAGCACTACAAGACACTCAATAGTTGCTTGGGTCATTTAAAGCAAAAGAAGAAGAATAACAAGAAGAAGAAGAAAAGGAGGAGTGTTTTTTTCAAAGCTCTTGTTTCTTAATTTTTGTCTTAACTCTTTATCAGTAAGTTTAAGGACAAAACAAGCTGAGCGAAAGGAAACAGATGATCCAATTTCACATCCCTTACAATTTCCACTGAATGAGCTGAATGAACTGAGTGTGCATGCGTCTAACTGTGTGTGTGTGTGATATTCGTGAGGCTGAAAAAGTGCAGGGTAATTTCCTGCACTCACTGTGCCAGGTATTCCTCAGAACAAAGACACTGGAGAGAGACATAGATAACAAGGTTGAACTGAAGGACCACGTGAGACATACACAGACATACTATATATACATACACACCAACACAAATTGTACATGTGTGACATCAGCTTTGCCAAACCTGACTTCACCCCACCAGCTCATGGCTGCGTGCTGTCTCAAATCTGTCTCTATTCCCAAATTGCTTGTCAGAAGGACAAAATTAGAAAATAAAACTGTGCGGCTGACAAACAAGATTACAAGCTGTTTGCACCTGGCCGTGGCAATTAAGGCTCTGATGACAAGCGAGGACGGCCTCCTAATGTGGTGTCTCAAGACGCATCAGCATTTTCACAACAAGATTGTGCCCCGCGTGCCTTTGTGGCAGCTCTGGCGGAAACAACACCAGTCGCTCTTCGGCCGCTTTGTGCTGTCTGTTGCATTCTGTCTGGAGCACGCCTGGGATATGTTACATTGAGATATTCATAATTAGAAGAGTGAAAACAGACACAGCCATTAAAGTGACACTTCACTGATTTAGACTTTAAAAGGCTTGTTCAGCTGGTACAATTGGGAGCCGAACTAAAACCCAAAATTACGAGAGGAGAAGAAAACTGTTTGTGCAGAGAAGCAGGATTCAAATTAAGCAATACATATTGCAGATGTGTTTCAGAACAGACAGCAAATATTGTTGTGCATCAGAGTTCAAATATGCACATCGAGTTACTCCAAAACATCCTAATTTGATGCTCTGTCTTTTCTGTGCAAATAATGCAGTCTGGAGCTTCTACTCCGAGTCCTCATACTCAGCAGCTTTAGCTCCAGGGAATTTTCTGAAAGCCCCTTTATCTTAAATAGCCACAATTGAATGACAGCAGACAAGCAAACATAATTGTTTAAATGTACCACTTACATGCGCTGATTGCTTCCTTCTCTCTTATTTGTGCCAGAATAATAAAATGCACCATTCTCGTAAACAGACGCCACATCATTATTTCATAAGTTTGCTGAGTTGAGCGCGGTAAATTATGTATACTTTGCTTTCTTGGGGAAGACAGGCCTTTCCCTCTATGTTAGTGTATAAGATGCCTGGGCGAGAGCAATGTCTATTTACCATATGCTGAGAAATGCATCAAAGCCCAGAAGAGACATTAGCATGGAAGAGGCCTTAATTTGAGTGCATGAGTTCACTCAAATTATACATCCAGCTAAGTTTACTTCTGTGTATATATACTCAATTATCTTTGGTTTAAATGCTAAATAAATGTCCATCAGCCTTAATTGCTTATATGTCTGTCCATCTGCATTTTCTTCCTTTGCATTTCTTTGGTTGTTGATTCAAGTTTGAAGGTTCTGATCAGATAACAGGGTTTGAAAATTCTTGATCTGTCTTTGACTTAGAACTAGACAGAAGACGTCAGCTTCTCTTGTCCTTGTTTGGCTCCTCGTCTGTCTTTAAAGGTCTATCATTGACTGTGACTGGCCTGTTAAAAGTGTAATCCTCCTCATTAGCAGGAACTCTCCCCCTGCTATGTTGGCTCGGCATGGCACCTCTTCCTTTAGTGTTTTCCACTGTCTGTCTGTCTGCATGTGGAAGCGTATTGCAGAGCCGGGGGCTTCAGAGTGACAGATGGAGACTGCTTTGTGACCCTTAGAGATTGGCAAGCCCTTCTGTCCCCTCCTGATTGAGTGTCTAACTACCGGTCGCTCTCCTCACGTCAAACAACCCTGCTTTATGTTATCTAAAGCCGCTCCCACTTGGCCCACTTGCTGCGATGGCAGTGTCAGATCCTGACAGCTGTTGTCATCTGCAGCTACAAGTGATGCCGCTGAGGCTTGATGAATGGCACTTTTATGAAAGCCGTCAAAATCTAACAGGCCCAGGTTTGAATGGCGATATGAATATTCGCAGTAAGGCAGGGTAGTAAATAAAATCAGCAAAATAATCCATAATTTTGGCAACGGATGAGTTTGATTTTTGTCAAAGAAAACAAAAAACTAATAAGTGTCAGAAGTTGTAACCTATCATAAAGTTTTAGTTTTTTCTTGAAACTTTTCACAGTAGCTAAGATGTTTGTTTACCATACACTTGACTGCCATGACTGAAGAGACATGAAGGTATATAATAAGGGTTTCTTTTAATTTACAAATACACAATCACATACAAAGCCAATTAACTAACCTAAGGTCGCGCTCACACCAGCCTTGTTTAGCCCACTTGAAGTGAACCCTGGAGTGTTTACCTCCTTGGTGCAGTTCGTTTTGGTTGGTGTGAACGCTGGCATTGAACTCTGCCGCAGACCAGTCAACCGCTCTCTGGTCTGCCTGGTAGGGGTGGTCTCGGACTGCTATCATGTGAACTCTACTGTGGTTTACTTCTGGTGTGTGAACCCCATCCGCACCAATCACAGGAAGCGCACGTTTTACACGTCATTTCCTGTTTTGTCCCCTGCCAGTCATTAGCCTCACTCTGATAACTCTGACTGGCAGGGGACAAATGTGGAGTTACGGATTATTGCCTGTCGTCTTCCGTGACATGACCGTCCGATTCCCAGCTGTTCATATGCGCGGTCCGTTAAAGTCTGCTGATATGCACTCCAGATCAGCACCAACGTAAGTGAGCAGATGATGCTCCATGATGTACGGTTAAAATTGCGAGGGATTTGTCATCTACCCATCTAAACTGTATAAGCAATCACCGAACGGCATTTGCTGCCATGTGACAATTTTTGGACCGTTTGAGTTTGGCCTTTGTGAACGCTAACTGGACCAGTTGAGAAATTGCGACAGTGTATCATCAATGTATCATCCTCACTTTGGTTCGTATCAGAAAACGGGCCTTTTGGTGTGAACACAACCTAAGACAAAGGCTAAGGATTTAAAATAACACCCCTTATGAGGCAGATCCTAGTCTGGGGTTTTGGACTATCCAAGTGTCAGCAAACGAGATTAAGGATGGGTATAAATTGGACTGAACTGCTGGTATCAATTTACATTTACCTCTCTTGACTGTGTAAAACATGTTACTTCATTCGTCACTAAATCTGCCCAGAGAATCCTGTGCAGTAGTCATATGAACAAAGTAGAAAATCAAATCCCCCAAAACAAAGCTTTTTGTTTTTTGACAGTAGCGGTCTAATTTAAGGGGCTGATATGATGTCTTCTCTGTTTTGTTTTTTATTGCTGTTCTTAGCTGCTCCAACAACAAATGCCGAGTTCTGTTAAGTCTGCTGGAAAAACATACAAGCCTTTCTTTTATCATAGAGTTTGCTCACCTAAATTTACATTATTATTATTTATGCCCAGATT